TGACGCTAGACGCCGTGCTCTACTAATTTATGCACTTGGCTTCGAGGGACAACGTTTATTTTACACTTTGCCTAACGTCGGCACTTCATATAATGAGGCAATGACGGCGTTGGAACTACAGTTTGCACCGAAGGTGAACGTTGTTGTGGCAAGACATCAATTCCGACAGAGAATGCAAATGGCGGATGAGACTGTGCCTCAATACATGGCTGCTTTACGTGAGTTGGCTATAACATGTGACTATGGAACCATGGAAGATGAGATGCTACGGGATCAGCTTATTGAGAAGGCTTATGCCCCGGAGGTGAGAAACAGCCTTTTATTGGAATCTTCACTTAAGTTGGACACCGCCATTACGCTGGCGTGTCAAGTGGAACGTGCTCTTCAGTCGTCCAAACTCCTCAGTGGAGCTACTGCTGTTCACACGGTTGCCCAGCCTGGACTTACTCAACGGAAGGTTAGAAACCGGCAAGCCATTTCTAAAAATAGCCACACGCGCACCGCGCGGCAGACACAGCAGAGGGCGCGAGCCTGTTATCGCTGTGGATCGACAAATCACCTGGCGAATGCACGAGACTGCCCTGCAGCCGCAGCAAAATGCAACAGCTGTGGTAAGACCGGACATTTTTCTAAAGTTTGCCGCTCAGCTAAACAAGTTGGAGAAGTAATGCCTGAAGTGGTTGTGCTCATGATGACCGCAAAGGACGTTAACACTACTGATAGACTGCTTTGCAAAGTAAACATTAAAGCTGCGTCAGGGGAGTTTACTGACTGTGAATTATTGATCGATACAGGATCATCAGTTTCTATCATACCAGAGACTCTGTACAACAGACATTTTCCTGAGAGTCCTCTAACTGCACCCCGTGTGAAATTAGTCACTTACTTGAAAGAGGACATCCCTGTAATAGGATGTTTGGAAGCTACAGTTACCCTTGACAACAATACTGCTCCTGCTTCTTTGTATGTGGTTCAAGGAGGATCTGCATTACTCGGAATGGACCTAATAAAAGCACTGAAGTGGACATTGAGCCATGATTCAATCCATGTTCCACCTCCTGATCATGCTTCTTCTGCTGCACCCGTGTTGCTAACAAAAACAGACTCTTCTTCTATTGGCTGTGTTGCTGGGTTTGTGCACAAAGTTAAAGTACGTGAGGATGCAGTCCCAGTTCAGCAGAAACTACGACGTCTTCCATTTGCAGTACGAGAAGCTGTGTCAGAGGAACTAGATCTGCTCCTGAAGGAGGGCATTATCGAACACATTGATGCTTCTCCCTGGATTTCGCCTATTGTGGTAACAACAAGAAAAGAAGGCAGACTAAGACTATGTGTTGACTTAAGAGAACCTAATAAAGCCATTATTGCCGACAGTCATCCTTTGCCCCACATGGATGAGCTTTTAAGTGAGCTCAGGGGTGCCTCTGTTTTCTCCACCATAGATCTGGCATCTGCATACCACCAACTTTTACTACATGAGAACAGTCGGGACCTCACGGCTTTTATTACACACAAAGGACTTTTCCGCTACTGCCGTGTCCCCTACGGGTTGGCCTCTGCTCCATCTGCATTCCAAAAAATGATGGAAACTGTGCTTAAAGGCCTACCTGGTGTGCACAATTACTTAGATGATGTAATAGTTGCAGGATCTTCTCTACAGGAACATGACAGACGCCTGCATGCTGTGCTCCAGCGTCTTACAGATGCAGGTCTGACACTGAACATGCAAAAATGTACATTTAGAGAGTCCAGCCTCAGATTTCTTGGACACATCATTTCCAAAGACGGCATTCTTCCTGATCCAGACCACAGTTCAGCTGTCCGTGATGCTCCACCACCACATGATCTGCCATCTCTGCGCTCCTTCCTGGGTTTAATTTCCTGGTACAGTAAGTTCCTTCCCAATTTTGCTACTGTAGTGGAACCAATGCGGGCTGTACTAAGAGAAACTGCTGACTCTGGTTTCATATGGACTCAAGGGGCTGATCAAAGCTTTAAGGAACTGAAAGAGCTTTTACTGAAAAGTCCTGTTCTGGCTCTTTTTGACCCATCTCTCCCAACCATTGTCACCACAGATGCTTCAGACTACGGACTGGGTGTATTTGTGTTGACCCAAATACACCCAGATAATACTGAACGAACTGTTGCATTTGCATCTCGAACTCTGACCCCTACAGAACGGAAATACTCTACAGTGGAAAAAGAGGCTCTTGCTTGTGTGTGGGCTGTTGAAAAATGGAAGTCTTATGTCTGGGGCCGACGATTCATACTAAGAACTGATCATCAGGCACTGACAACACTACTCGCTACCAAAGGCATAGGGCGTGCTGGAATGAGAGTCGCACGCTGGTCTGCACGTCTACTGTGCTTCACCTATGATTTGGAATACAGGCCTGGATCACAAAACCAGGCTGCAGACTGTTTGTCACAGTTGCCACTCCCTATGGACTCTACTCCTGTAGATGAACCTGACATGGTTGCGTCCATTGTGTCAGCTCTGTCTGTAGCTGAGTTCACTTCTGCTTCCTCTCAATGCCATGAACTCGCACTTCTTCGTGGACAGATAGAGAAGGGCTGGCCAAAATGCAAGAAGGATGTGGACCCTGTCTTAATACCATACTTCAATATCAGGAATGAACTTTCTGCATCTCGGGATCTGGTCATGAGAGGTGAACATCGATACATTGTTCCTGTTACTTTACGTGCTACTGTCATTCATCTGGCACATGAAACACATCAAGGTGTTGTTCGCACAAAACAGAGACTTCGTGACCTGTACTGGTGGCCTCAGATGGACAAAATGGTTCAGTCTGTTATTTCTTCTTGTACAACCTGCCAAATGAACGACAAATCTGCTCAAACTGCTCCTGCTCCTCTCCAACCCATTGAACTGCCTAACAGACCATGGGAGAAAGTGGCCCTGGATATTGTGGGTCCCTTTGAAACTGCTGTTTCTTCATGTAGATTTGCTATAACATTGGTGGACTATTACAGTAAATGGCCAGAGGTGGCGTTTTCTCACACTGTAACTACTGATGTTGTTATTGCATTTCTACGCTCTATTTTCAGCAGAGAGGGGAACCCTGACTACATAGTCACTGATAATGGGCCTCAGTTTCTTTCCAGCTCTTTTGCAGATTTTCTCAGAGAAAGGGGAATATCTCATCTGCGTACAAGTGTGTACCATCCGCAGTGCAATGGTGCTGTTGAAAGGTGGAATAGAGTTCTTAAGGAGACAATCCTAACTGCTGAACACATGCAGAAAGACTGGAAAACTACAGTAACTGATTTCCTACAAAACTACAGAGCAACGCCACATAACACAACTGGAGTATCTCCATCAGAACTACTGCACAACAGGAGGATGAAAACAAAAGTGGACATCTTTCCAAGTCCAGAGAAAAGCAGAAAATGCACTACAATCAAAGAAACAGTGAAACAGAAACAAGAGAAGTCTAAACAGTACACTGACAAGCGCCGTGGAGCAAAGACACCAACATTCAAACCTGGAGAAATGGTGAGGGTAAGAAGACCTGATCATGTTCGCAAAGGCTCATCAAGATTTACTCCACCGCCCTCTGTTGAAAAACAGATTGGAGGAAGTACTTATGTACTCAGTGACAATAAAATGTGGAATGCTGCCAGACTTTCACGCTATTCTGCAGGTATTCCATGTAAAATGACAAAACCAGAAAAGCATGACCCTGTGGTTCAAAGGAAAAGTGCTAGAACTGTTGCTAGACCTACATGGTTCAAAGACTTTCAGCCAGGTTGAGGAAAAGGAATAAATGAATACATAAATGATTGTGTTGCGTGTTTAGGGTTCAGGTGAACTAACTCTCATGTTACAAACTGGTTTCAAATACCTGGATCTTATGTTACATTTGGTAATTCTGTCCCATAGTAACTTCAAGTGTTAGTTATAAAGTACAGGGTTGCTGAATATATTTGTTTGGTTTTGTGTACTTAAGTAATTACCCTGTTTTCATTTCAGCTAAGGTTAAACTTGTGACATACAAACCGTTAAATGAGGTGGATGTTCAGTCATATGTTAAATGGATACATGCAATCTTTTCAAGTAAGGGGGGAATGTTGTGTCTACCACTAGGTGGTGTACGAGAATAGGATAGACTGAGGGAGAGAAGGAGAAGAAGAGATAAGATGGCGGAGAGGATGACCTGATGTTACTGTACTGCTGAGCGAGTTCTGAATAAACGCTGTTAAGAGTTCTTTGTCTACTTCAGCTTTTACCTCGTCCTGGCTTCCAAACATAACAGTATGGTTTTGAACTGTGGGACAAACAAGGATTATGTAGAGAAAACCTCATTAATAGACAGACGGTCCAAACAAAATGCCTGGATGGGTTTTATCATGAAAGCAATTCATAAATATAATAATGGAACATGATCCATAACAAAATTCTCAAGTGTTTTATTTAAGGCAAGTCATAAAATGACAAGATAATAAAGACAGCTTAACTATGAACACCAGTTTTTTTCTACAGCTAAATTTTTGGCTCCAGTAAGAACATTTGATATGAACAGGTGTCCATGTTAGCTGTAAACATGAGAGAATGAATAAAGAGGATATATTATGACTGGGAGTGGGAGCAAAAGCACAGGATGGGGGTTTGAGGAAATAAAGTGTTTTTGAGCCACTGCAGTGTGCATTCCTCAGAGGACAGTGTTGAACAGATGTAATCAGCAAGTGTGAAAGCAGAGGCAATAACTCCACATGGCAAAAGGTGGAGAAGTGAATCTGTCTCTGTCAAGAAGGTGTGGAAAGTATGAAAAAATGAAAACTAAGCCAGCTGATAAGGAAGCAAGAGGTGCGGTACAGAATATTGAGAACAGGAAGTGTGTATTAACACAGGTATATGATTGCGCTCTGGAAAAATACACTCCAACATCTGTAAAGGTTCAACTAGTTACACATCCCACCTCTGACTGAATTTTTAAAGCCTGCATCATACCCCTGCACAAACATGTTTAATATTTTATAACTATTACATTTAAAATTAGAAACTGATTAAACGGACAAGTTACATTAAGTCAGTTGAATGAATTTATTTGAAAAATTGATGAACTTGGAAACTTTAAGGTTATAAGTTGCAGCTAATTCTAAAACCGACTGAAGCACAGGGATATATAGTTATAGCCAGTAAATTAGAATGCATTGTCAGATTGAAACATGTATGAAAAACATATTTTAATCCCAGATTAAAAATATTTTTTTTATAGATCTGATGCAACACTGTAATCTTAAATATATTTTTATTAGCTGAAAGGGAATTATGATCAAAGTTGTGGCTGAAATAGAAAGTCATATCACTTCTTTCAACCATTCAGAAAATGTGATTATTTAAAAAAAATGTAATGAAGTGTATTTCTCTATACCATACTCAGTTACATAAAACATAAATTGGGGGAATTGAAATCTGAATCACTGTCACATATCGGCCTTCCAGATGTAATAATAGACCAATGCTATGAATATATGCACCTTTTAGTAAGTGATATTCCAGCACCCTCTTCCTCTGCATCCGATACCGTCACACAGAGCTAAGCAATATTCATGTTCAAAAATCTAAATCTTATTTTGAAATAAACTACAATGTGGAACAACAAAGACTTTGCTTATAAAGTGTCATTTTTAAAATACACGATCTGTTCCTGCTGTTCTGTTGAATTATTGTCTCAAGGGAGTTGTTGCCAAATTATTTCCTTTATTTCAGGAAATCTAATTACAAGTATTTCAAAGTAAAATACAGAATTTTCTGCTGAAGAAATGTACAGTACAATATTTATAAAGACTCCTTTTACAACATCCTCAGTTTGTATCAGCATTTCAGGCAAGAACTGAAAACAACACTAACACATGAACCGGTATATTAAATGGACGTCTTAATTCCCTTTAGAAAGAAAACAAGGATGTGTCATATTCACATCTTCTCCTCATTTTCAGGAGGATTTTGCACCAACAAGAACAATAACAGAGATGGAAGAGGTTTCACTGTTTTGGCACTGCAAGCCAAATGTTTGGGCAAGTACAAACAAAAGACTTTCACTTAGAATATTGGTCTTCATTTCAGACAAAGGCAATAGCAAAACATCTAATACAGTCCGAGTCTGTACAGTCAATCACATGGTGTGATGGGAGAGCTCCAGCAGCTGATGACAAATGGAAAACACTTTGTACTCATCAACACAGTTCAGTTCTTTTTCTCCAGCACAGGGAAATGAAATCCTTAAAACAGCCACAAGATTTTCAACCAGAGATAAACCAAGAACATGACTTGACTCTGTTTATGGGTGGATGTTTGTGAGCTAAATGTAGGCGGCAACAGCACCTCCTGCTTTCAAGTTTAACTGTAGACATGTAGTTTGATCAGAGCAGTCAGTGCTGATATGGTTTTGTAGGTGGTATTGAGTTTTTAAATTGCTGTTGGGAGAATGACTGAATTATGTTTGAGGAGGAAACAGTTTAATTCTACACAGACACACCTGAATGAAAATGTCCTTGAATCCTTCTTATGCTCCAGTAATCCTCCTGTGGGAGAGCACAGCCGGTTCAGATCCATTCAGACACAACAGGTGAATTAATGTTTCACCTGTCAAATAAAATGTATTATTAAAATATTTATTCCATGGAATTTTTCATGATTATATGGTTTAAAAAAAACTACATTTGATTTCTTTGTGTGGAACAACTCATTTTTGTTTCCTCTAACAGATCTCATCCACAGTGGTTCATGTACCATGACAAGCTTTCTATTTATTCAAACACTTGACATGGGAGCTGAACTCAAGATCAGTGATGAGCGAACCGATTAGAAGCAAACCAGAACATAGAGAATAAAGATGAGGTGGAAATGCTTTCTGACATCAGGAACATGACATTATCAGCTTTTTCATGAGGTTTTGGTGCCAGTCATGTTAAACCCTTTGCCAGTTGGTCATGTAGTACCCAACTTTTTCAAGTAGGAAATGGTTCTATGGAGTTTGTGGTGCCAAGCATGCATCAATTTACACACACTTTATGGGCATCTTGCTCAGTGGATGTTTCAAAACCAGGTTTCAATACATCATGTGGTTTGCTTTTGCCTGCAAAAATATTTACATTCAGCCCATAGTACAGTATAACACCACACCATCGGTGCAAAAACTTACAGATGTTATACACACACTGATGTGGGAATTGTGTGTGTGTGTGTGTGTATATATATATATATATATATATATATATATATATTACTGCACACAAAACTGATCAGCTACTGGAACCTGAGAAGGCTCCTGAAACTCCTCTGATATGGAATGTTCGGCATTCCCATTGACTCCTACCACTTTTGTGTATCTTATGCAGAAAGTCTTTAAATGTAAACAGCATTGATTGACCAGTAAATTATATAATGAAATATTTGTATTAACTACCATTTTGCTGATGCAATGCTTCAAACAACTAAAACTGTGCAGAACCAGTGGTTCAATAGTTTTTCCCAGCATTATATTAAAAAATAATAACAATAATAATAATAATGATGATGACAACAACCTCTATTTCAGTTAGAGATTAGCAACTGTGCAGAACTGCAGGCCCTGACAGCAGCATGTTCAGGCCATGGTGTATCCATAGCTCCCGCAGTGCAGAGCTACCAGCAGTCGGTCTCGGAGAACTTCCTGGTTCGGATATTCTGGCAGTTTCAGCATGTTGATGCTAAAAAATGAAGGAAAAACTGAGTTAGCAGGTTGATTGTCATGGTAACAGGTGTGGCTCAAATGAAGTCATGAGTGAAGCTATGGATTGTCAATCCCTCCCAGACATCTTTGAGTGTTTTCAAGAGAGCTGTTGGTTTTACTATTTGATGATGATGATGATGATGATGATGATGATGATGATGATGAAGATCTGCACCAAAGGAAAATCCTCTGCCAACCAAGCTGAAACCCCCCCTCCGTATTCTTGGAGGTGTTTGATCAAGCGCTTGCAGACTGCATGGCAGACATGGTGGATGTCTTCAGCTAAGCATCGAGTTTAAAGGTGTTTCATGGATCTCACATTTGTGGAAGTGATATTCCTCCACATCTCCAATTTTATGGAGTTATAAACTAATTAGAAATAGAAAACACATGCAAAATTATTTGGTTCTTATTTGTACCAAGCATTGAGTGATGTGCAGGATGTAATTTAATAAGGGTCTTATTTTACTTGAAGATAGGTAAAAGACACAGGTGCTGCACTTAAAACGTCTCCCATACTAATTCTTACTTATGTTCTTATTTAATAATTATTTTAAAAAGTTGCTTCAGCATTTTGTTTATCTAAGGAATTGATTGTTAAATTGGCCTAACTGCCTTTTAGGACAAATTTAGGATTATTTGTACTGTAGATACATTTGTTTTATTATTCTATTACTTAATTACAAACAAACTACATTTGTTTTTGAAGCATAGAAATATTTCTTCAAGTTTTTCTTTATAAGTTGGTTTATAGCCCTAATTTTTTTTTTTTTTTGCAACATTGTCAGAAACATTCCCTTTTTTCTCTCCCTAAAGCTAAACTCCATTGTGCTCCTGTGTGTATGCGCTGCACTGTGATGTGTTTGTCTGGAAGAAGTTCTTCCCTCTACATGTATTCAGATGTGCTAGTTACCATGTCAGGGAAGAATAGAAGCACAAAGTGCCTCAGGGGATTGACAACCAGCCAATGAGCTGATTTAGTTTAAAGACATTTAAACTAAATCAAGTAGACAAGTCAAAATGTTCAGTTTTACCATTAGTGCTGGCATTACTCAAAATACCAATGTAAGCACAGTGGATCTAAAGGCTCAGGAGAGATGGGTGACCTCTGACCTTTTTCTCCAACACCGAGTCTCTCCATTGTGTTTGTTACAGCCAGTGGCCTTGTATGTTTTTCTTTTCCTTTTCTGCAGCTTTACAGCCAACTGACTGGCTCTGGGGATTGGATGCAGCCGTCTCCCTGTGCCACTCCCTGAGGTCTTCAGCAGAGCTGATTGGCTCACCAATTGTCAGCTCCACCAATCCCTGATGAGGTTTCCCTTTTAAAACCCAAGACTTCCTGGAAGAAGGCGTGGCTGATTCTTTGTTGAGACGGCTTGCCACTTTGTTGGGTGTTTGGTTGACTGCTGAAAGATCACTTTGTCTTTCTGACAGCTTTTGTTAGCTTTGACTGCTTTGGTCCCTGTGGGGGATTTTAGAGATTTGTAGTTGGTTTTGTTTAACCTCGTTTACCTTGAACTAAAGTTACAGTTTTGTTTTAACTCTGTTTTGTGGATTTTGTTTTATTTAGTGTTTTTGGTTGTAAGCCCCTCCCTTTTGATTATTGTTTTTTTTTTTTACCTTTTTATTTTTGTCAAAACCCAAACAATAAATCTCATATTGTTAAACCTTTAACATCTATGTTTTTTTAATGTTACTTCCCTTTCCCCTGGCTGACCCGGGTTGTAACAGTGTTGAATTTTCTCATGCAGAGAACAAAAGGACCAACCGCAAGAGTAGCAAAGTTATTTAAGGCCTTTTGGGTCTTGCCTACTGAAAACAGATGATCAAACTGTATTTCCCAGCACAGTACTGATTGGATTCTGCTGATATCACTGACATTAATCCACCCAGGATGCTGAACCGGTAGGAAGCATTGATTCACTTCCCAGACCTGCTGAACAGGAAGACTGTGAAGCATAAACTGAAGAAAACTTTAAAGTGGACATATCATGCTTTTAAATCCTTCATTTTAACATGTAAATCATTCACTTGTGGTCTATATAAAGTAGAATTGCAATGCTTTGGTCTGAATTCCTGGCTATTGTATCTCCACTGACATGCATGACCTTGTTTAGCAGTTCCACAACAAATGCGGTGATGTCATAAACAAGAAATCATTATAGTGAATAGAGAAAAATTAACAGACTGAAAAATATAAACCAAAAAGAAGATAAAGACAGTCTCCTAGCAACATTTGCGGCACTTTGCAGCAGTGATGGCCGTAAAGCGAACAGAACTCAGCCTCAGCTTGAAATGGGAGCACTGGTGCTGACTTACTCATGTTGTTGCTGTACTTAGTGATTTTCCAGAGCTTTCTACCATGGTAGAGCCCTGAGAGCTCTCTCATGGTAGAGAGCCATGAGAGAGCCAAAAGGAAAAATTGCACCTTCACATCTCAGGTTGGTGTTCCCAACGCCACAACAATGGTCTCTCTAATGGTCTCTAGACCATTTTGTTCCTAAGAAAGGAACACAAATCGAATCTAGCAACTTTCTCTGGTTTATTATTGAAGACTTTGGCGACAAAGTGGTAAAGCCCCAATAGTACTGCAGCTACAACGGGCGGTGAGAGCTGCCATGAGCCCCTCACACCTACGAAGTATTTGCTGAGAGTGGAGGAGACCCACTCCATTCAGTTTACACATCACAATGGAATCACACATGCACAACGCTGCTGGTGATCCCGTTCTGGATTAAAAATGATCTAAACATAGTTTTTTCTATGTTGTGCAATGTAAACTGTCGCACCAAAACAAAATATCTTCATTTGATTCACACAGCCTCAGTGTTCTGTTAAATTATAAATAAGGTGGATAGAATGCAAAAATAAGGGACACCACTGTTTAAATGTATTTTTGAAGTATCTGATTGAGATTCTGTATTGAATGAGACTCTGAATAAATGAGTCGGAGGCAAATAAAAAACCTAGAATGGACATCCCTATTAAAAATTACAATCACCACGGATGTAAACCCTTACATTCAAGTTTTCCCCCAGTGTATTATAAGCCTGGCATGCTGCAAGGCAACAGAGCTACCAACTGATGAATATTGGAAAGTCAAATTGTTTTTCAGTCATGTTTGATGCATACAGTATTTTTATAATGGAAGATAACATAGTTAATTGATAGTGCTAAAAAGTGGCACTAATGTGCCTGAAAAATACATAATATGCCCCTTTAATCATAAATGTTAATTTTTTACAAAAGCCAACTGTTGTACCAACCCTTGTTGTATACCTGGTTCAATTGAAAGAAGAGCAGTTTCACACTTTGCTCATGTTGAACTTATAAATGGGTTCCTGGTGACCCAGAAGCAAACCAAGACCATGAAATGTTAAGGCAAATGTTTAAAATATTGCAGAACAATTCTAAATCAACTAATGTCAAGAAAATTAATGTAAAATAAAGAGGACTATGAAGACATTATCTTACCAAAAGTCGAGAGAGTAAAAGAGACCCCAAGCGCAGGAATGCTCCACCAGTGGAATGTAGATGTGTGAGAATATAAAAGAATGTCTCTGCTCGCTCACGGTTAATGTTTTTGGCATCGATGGGCAGATCCATCCAGTCTTCTATCACTACACATGATTGGCTACATTCCCTGATTGGGCATCTAAATGACAGTGAGTTTTCCTGAGTCTTCCTTGTGATTTTGAATGTTTATACTTGATCAGACTGACAAATTAAGGGCTCAGCTCCAACTTGATACTTCTATGCTATATATTATGTATTTAGAAATATTCAGTTGAATTGAAATATACTTTATTGATCCCACAAGGGAAATGAAATGTTGTAACCAGGTTTTCTTCGAGTTGTAGATGTTAATGTTTCCACAAGTTGTAACTTGTAATCACCGGCAGAAATGCTCAGATAATTTTTTCAAATACTAATTCTACACTATAAAATAGAAAAAAACATTGAAGTACTGAGTACAAAGTAAAAATACTCATTTTACAGTATCAGACATAAACAAGAAGATGAGTACAGAGAGCTGATGGACTGCTTTGTGGCTTGGTGTGGAAAATAATCACCTTATCTTAAATGTGAACAAAATAAAGGACATGATTATAGATTTCAGGAGAAACAGGATGAAAGATCAAACTCATTTCCATCATGAAAGAAGACACAGAGGTGGTGAATCAATATGAATACCTTGGTGTTTATCTGGACAACAGACTGGACTGGAGGTACAACAGTGAAGCATCTATAAGAAGAGGAAGATAAGCAGATGCTGCAGATCTTCAGTCTGTTATTAAGAGTGTCATCGCTTCTCTGTCATCTGTTGGAGCAGCAGCATCAGAACCAGGGACATAAAGATGCTCAGTAGCCTGATAAAGAAGGCTGGTTCTGTTCCGGTTCTGTTCTGGTTCTGTTCTGGGGATGACTGTGGAACCTCTTGGGATCATAATGTAAAGAAGGATTCTTCATAAAATCAAGAAAATTATGGACAACTCTGTCCATCCTCTTTATGAAACTGCTATTCAGCAGCAGAGTGTCTTCAGTCAGAGGCTTATTCAGATTCGCTGTAATACAGACTTCTTTAGAAGATCTTTCCTGGCTACTGCTGTCACAAACTGAAGAACCTTAAGTCATGAGCTACAACATTTAATTTCCCTTTGGGACCAATAAAGCATTTTTGAACTGATTTGTTGCTTTGCAGTGTTAAACCGTTATATCTAAAGTATATCAAATGACACCAATGTAGATGCTTTGGTTATTTTTATTGGTAACCAAGACAACAGAACATAACGTCACAACCTTACATGCGAGCAAGCACTGGTGGGTATTAGTAACACCACTAACTTGAACCAGCACCAGTACATCATAAATATCAATATATTACAGTGTTGATGTCTGTTTTTATAATTACTGTGCAGCAGGGCTGTGCAAAGATGTTAGGAGAATCAGGTGATCAACATTAAAAAGGGGCTCATAGAATAAGATTTTAAAACGCCTTACAACAGATTTTCATCAAAAATTTAATACAGAGGCATTAAACCATCCCTAAATTTCCAATTTGCAGGACAATAAAGGCTCTTTCTATTCTGTCATATTCATCAGATGGGGACAATGCAAAGCAAAGGTAGCCTATGTTTTACCTGATTGCTACAATGTTGCCGTTGAAGGGTTGCTGCTCCTGCTGCTGCTGAAAGTCAGGGCTGTGTTGATCTGAGATTGTAGACATGAGAAAAAGCATAGGAGAGATGGATCCTCATTAAACAAGAATTATTGAATACATTATAACATTTCTTAAATTCCATTTGTGTCTCACTAAGCAAACCCTAATAATTGACTGGTTGACCTACACAGTTTAAAAATAATAATACAAAAAAAGCTCAGAGGGGTGACGAGCTACTTCTCTGTGTTATTGTTTGTGCCTCAGAGATTCAGGTTTGTAAGGCAAAGAGAGACAAAAGATATTCATCAGATCTAAACCTTCTCAAGATCAAGAAAAACTAGATCATATGTTTATTTTTAGTCATGTTGATTACTGTAACAGTCTTCACAGGTCTGCCTAAAAAGTCAGACAGCTGCAGCTGATCCAGAACGCTGCTGGTCCCGTTTTAAACCTGGAAAATGTTCTGACATATGAAATGGTTTTCTTTAACACCAATAACAGGCCTAAATTTTTGTTTACAAAAAGTATATTAAAAAAACATTCTTGGCCATATCTTAGTAGTTGGACAGCCCAGTCTATCATGATAAGAAACACACAATATGAATCTCTGAGGTCATAGGTTAAAAGTAACCACAAAACTGACAGAAGCCAGAATAGTTTAGCCATTTTTGTTTTAAAAATAGTTATTGTTGAGGGGCATAGACAGGGCTCCACACACACAGAAAAAAAGTCCTAACAAAGGCCGCTTGGGGCATCAAGGAGGAAAGGGACAGAGTTCAAGCCCCTGTGTACATCTCTGCTGTGCAGCTGTTAGAATATAGAATGACTCTGATAAATAATCTAACACAATGTTAGCAAGACTCTTACAGTTTTCTTAAGAGGGTTCACCTTCATTAACATAACAACCACCTGACTAACTGTGCCTGCTAAACAGGCACAAAAAGGTAATTCAGGCTAGTCAGCTAGCATTAGCTATCATCAACTATAAGCTGCAGGTAGATTGCAGCAGCCATGTAAATAAAGTAGGTTACTACAATATTTTAACTGAATATCAAGCTATAGAAAGAATCTGTTTCACCAAGAATACTTAGCATTCAAGACATGTGCAACTTACCTCCTGATGGTCTGCCATGCTGCTGTCCTAACTCAGCGAGTCCTCCTCTTCATCTTCCTCTTCGCCCAATCACACATGAACAGGAAATGCAGCTAATCATGTCTAGTGATAGAAAAATGGCTGGATCCACCCACCAACGGCCAAAAACCTTAACCTCGAACGAGCAGAAGCAGAAACCAGCGAGCGAACGGAGACATCCTGCGAGCGTGTGGATCCAAATGTTCGCAATCTCAATTTCCCTCACTTGGGGTCTCATTTACTTTCTCGACTTTTGGCATAATAATGATGCCATAGAGGAAGAGCGAATAAAATGTAACTCACCAGGTGCTGGAAGTAGGCAGCAAGTTGGAGGTATATGGGACTGCAGCAATGGTGAACTTCTGCAAACCACTGCCACCCATCAGAAAGGCAAAGCCACCATGAGGAACCCTGGAACTGATTCAGATCACATACATGTTATTTTTGACTCAATGATAATCATTCTGTAATCAGAACCACAGCAGACCAACCTTCCAGTGACAAACTGCAGCAATAAGACACGTTCCTCCTGGGTGAGCCTCCTCACCACCTTCCAAAACCACTGCAGACATGGAGACAGGTTAGCTGCTTGCTAAACAGGAAGTGAAGTCAACCAGGGCCGGCCCAAGGCATAAGCAAACTAAGCATCCACTTAGGGCCCCAGGGCCACTAAGGGGCCCCCTCAGTGAAGCTGATATTTTTTTAGTAACAATTTCTATGTCATAATAATAACAAAAACACACACTTTCATTATGAAGTGATTTGTTTTTACAATAATATATGTTTGATAATGTATGTAGAAATCATTATTTTATGGACAAAGAGAAAAAAAATTGCTCATCAGGGGGGATATGTTGTTTGTTGCTGAGCATGACCACTTATGTGGTTGAAACAAACATTTTTTTAAGATCAACTTCTAAGTTATGTGAAACTTCTGTTAAAATTATTTGAAGGCTCAGAATCAGTCCAGTACCGGTACCGGTCCACATTCCCAGGGGAGAAAGACTCACCTGGTATTAAAAAAAAAAACTTTTCGCTATTGGAGTAACACTTAAGACAAATTTATTTAATCAAAGAATGTCATAAATATGTGTGTATGTATTCCATCTTAAGTAGAGCTGCACCAATTGCAGTTTTCTGGCCAATCCCCAGTTACTGACCTGCCAATTTTGACTTTAGCTGATACCAATTTTCTTTTGTCTGAAATGTCACTAAATGAGTAAGAAAGTCACTGAGTTGGCAACAGTGGTTAGGGTAAGAGTCGATCACGATCCCCCAAAATTAAGGAAATCGGCTGACAGAAATCAACTGGCTGATAAATGTATCTTATATTGTACATGCATAGGACATAAGATAAACAGCATTATCAGAGGTGCAATAATAGGTGTGTGAATGATCTAATCATCTAACTGTTGATTCCAGCAATCCACATTGTTAGCAAAAATAGAGGGCCCCAAAACCAAATTCCACTTCCCATGGAGGCTTGGATCAGCCCTGAAGCCAACATCACCATGACTTCAATGTTCAATGTCACCTGTGGTCCAACTCAAGCTGTAAAGTTATATTTTCAGGAAACTGAGACAATACCTCAGTAAAAGGTCTTAAACAGAGAAGGTTATCTTCTACACTACAACAATTGGGCAACTCTGTAAAAATCAATATTTGCTTTTATTTTTTTCTGCTTTTAAAATATCAGTGCCTGGGAACAAATATTAATCTATGTATTAATACTTTATGCATTGAATTTTATGTAACAATTTAGCCATGGCTTCCTCTATCAATGATCACAGTGTTTCGATCGATTTTGCCATGATCATGTTGAACATTGGAAGGTCAATCAAAAAGGTAATTCTGTAATAAATAATAACATTACGTGAAATTGATCCTGAAATGCATGCATGTTATGTGTCAACATGGTGAGCTGAGCAGACAGAGCAGGCCACCTGGATCACAGGATCTTCAGGGTCATAGCCACTGGTGTACTCAGTGTTTCTGCACCAATCCTCCACATCTATCTCTGGCATCCCTGATAGCAGGAGCTCCTGTAGATACACACACACACACACACACACACACACACACACACACACACACACACACACACACACACAGTCATGGTTTCTTATCTTGTGGGAACTACATTGAGTTCTATCATATTCTACAGCCTAATCCCGACCCTTACAGTAACCCTAATCCTAACTAAAAGTCAATTCATATCTTAGCCCTAACCCTATAACAGCATTTCAACTCAAGGGGACCAAGAAAATGTGCCCCCCAGGAGCAGTGGTCTCCACAATCCCACATTGTAGATAGAAGTAGGTCCCCACAATGATACAAGAACCTGGTTCACACAAACGCACGCACGCACACACACACACACGCATGCGCGCACACATGCCTAAAGGGCAATTTATAGTCACCACTCACTAAATAGCCAGCCACTGCCTCAGCCCTGGGCTGGAGGCCGTTTGGTTTATCTCAGAGAGGCCAACTTCCTATTTCTCCTATCTGGATTTGATACAGTTGGGGCTCCCACACTTCCTGTATCTTCCTATACCTGTATCTGTCACTCACACTTTTTTCAGCCGTTAAAACATTTGAATCCATTGCTAATATGTTGTAACATGTTTGTAACATTAAGCGTTAAGACACTTGCACTGATTTTATACCTGTGAGGCAGCAAAGAGATGCTGCTGTGCAGAGTGGTACCAGTGTGTGGTGGAACCATGACAGTAACAGCAAAAAGCAAAGTACTTTGCACAGTTTTTTCTCCAAACATATTGAGTAAATATCTGGATGCAGATAATATTAGCTAAATGATGACTAGGTTATCCATGACAACATATCACTTAAGGTTGTCAGCAATAGGCTACTAATTTTGTTGTTATCTATGATCAGAGGTTGGTAGTGCTCTATTTCACTGTACTTTTTACTTGAGTTAGGATCTACTGCTCTTCTCATTTGAGTAAATTGATTTTGCTTTTATAGAAATAGATTTCAGAGATTGGAAACTTTAGATTCTTAGATTTCTGTGACTTGCAAATCTGAGCATAATTACTCAGTATTTTCTACATGTTACTGCTTAGATAATTATTCTTCTTCTGAATTAATAAACAACATGGTTATTTTATTCGATGCATGGCCTTAGGTCAGGATTTGAACACAGGAATCCACATAAAACTATTAGAAACTTTAAATGATATTACATATTTTTTTTCATGGTGGAAATATGACACTATGTGTTTACATGAATGATTTATATTTTGTCTTAAATTTATACAGAAAACAATTGTAACAGAAAAGATGTTTTAGCTGCAAAACAAAAATCCCTCACTTCACATTCTAAGCAGCATCTCAGTGCCAAAAGCAGTCAGCCAGAGGGAAAATGGAAAAGCTGTTACCAATAAACTGACTGCTGAGTTGACCTGAAAACATGGCACCATGAAGATATTCCAGGTTAGAGTTGCGCTGCACACTGATCCATGCATGATGTGAAATTTGCCAAAGAAGATAAAGAAAAGAACCTAATGGACTTGAAGAGAATCGGGTTCCAAGGTGACACAAGCCGCCCCTCCCCTCATGGCAAATCAATCCTTCATCAGATGTGAGGGGTGGCACACAGAGGGGAACAGTAAAAGGTGATACATGAGAGCAGAGAGGGGGAGGAGAAACACGTACCAATTCATATTCGTCAAAAAGCTGGATGAGCGACGGGGGGATGAAGGTGTGGAATCCTTGCAAGAAGGCGTTTATCTGAGGCTGGATGGCTCGTGTCATCCTCAGCTCCGTCACCAGCTGGACGTACTCCGCCTGAGAAAAACATTCACTCCCTGATCAAAGTCCTTCACAAATACAGACGGACAAGAGAAGGACGGAGTTCATGCATAGTTATTCTTTCCTCGGGAGGCTTTTCAAAGCCTTACAAGACAGCACCACCTACGGGAGAACTGCAGAACTACATGAGGAGGTATCAACCAAAAACAACAATATTTTGGCTGATGATAGACATACTATAACTGATTTGAAAAGTCACTATAATCAGATTCAACCACAATAAATAGTATCAAGTTTTAACACTGGAAGAAAAACTCTCATCAGATCCAAGTGATTCTGGTTCGTTAAAAAATAATGCAAGTAGCAGGCAGGTCTGCTTGTTTATGACAGATGGTATATATAATGTTGTTTTTACCTGAATACACCTGAATACACATTCAGGAAAACAATCAGAGTCAAGCAGTGGCCATGTTAGTTCCAAGAACAGAGGAGAGATATTGTCTGTATACTTTAAATTCTATCACATCAGCCATGTTTACTGAGCATCCGTTAAACAGCTCATGTAACAAGAACAAAAGCCGCAAAAATGTATCCCAAATTATTAACCAAATTAAATTAGCTTCTTCCACAGAATTTCTATGGGATTCAGCTGGACTGCTCCAAAACATTAATGTTATTTCTTTCAGAAGAAACATGGTAGCTAAATTAAAATATTTTTGTAAACCTACATTTGCCAGTGGTATGAATTACTTTTGGGTTTTCACGGCTTCTAATACAAGTCTGCTCATTTTATAACAAGTCAACAGTCAATTAAATCTTAAAATCATTTTTGAAAAAGAAACACTTACCTCTTCACGCCTTTACAGTGTGCATCGCATACAGTAATGGAAACACACGTACTGCATGATACCAGAGCTATGGGTGTGTTTAGTGATGACTAACCTTGTTGTCTTGAGTGACCAGGATGCTGCTCCCTCCAGGTTTGAGTGGCACTTCCTCCATGGCTCCAAACACATCTGTCTCCACAGAAAAGGTCAGCTCCAGACCCAAGTCACTGATGTCATTATCCAAGATCCACTGCAGGTTTTTAGCATACTCTGGATCGATAGATGACACATCCTGATAACTCACTGGAATACCTGGAAACCAAAAGAAAATACATAATCAGGATTAGCAAGAGAAATATTTTGCTTTGAAAACAGTATTTGACATTTGTTGTCATAGTAAAAAAGTTAAACAAGGGAAGCGCAAGGGAAGTGTGCAGTTATTTATATCAAATATTAATATGTCAGTAGAAAGGAAATCTCAATCAGTCTCACCAGCATCAAAAAAGTGATGCTACTGGATGCTGATTATCCTGATGCTACAAAGACTTTAGCACTGATAGTTAACCTACAATCAAGTCGTTCAGATGACCTGAACATCCAAAACATCCCTGACACACAGCTCTGGAACACACCTACAGATTTTGCTTGACTGTGACACTGAAATGTTTCAGATCAGTAAAAGCAGTTTAATACCAGACAAACATAACCTGAGTGAATATTAAACACAGTCTTCAAATGATGATGTATTGGAAAAAAGCTACCACAACCGAGCTGAACATGAAAAACAAAGCAACCCCTTGAGCTTTAAGTCAAATTGATGGACCGGCATTCTCTTTCAGGATTTTGTGGTATAGAGCAGGATTAATGTTTCCACTAATTACAAAAAAGCAGCCCCAGCCATCACACTGTCATTACCGTGTCTGACTTACCACACTCAGCATGTGAATGTGTGTGTGAATGGATGAATGACTGGATGTTGGACTTGATAAAGCTTTATAGATTTTTAACTCTTAATAAATCAAATCCTCATTTAAAAGACAGCATTTTCTATTTAATCAAATTATCTTTGTATATTTAAATTTGTTAGATGATCTGAAACATTTAAGTGTGCCAAAAAAAAAAAACCTAAATGAAAAGTATTCTGCAATGGGAATATGCCTTTTTCCCCAATATAGTTAATTTTGATTTTTTTTTTCTTTTTTGCCTTCTTCCATCTTGCCTCTCCTGTATGTTTGTTCTACACAGTATGGAAGGTCAGCCTGTCCTTCGAGGGAAGTTGGCAGCTGATTTATCAACCTGTTTTGGTTTTGCTAACTATACAGAAAAAGTTAATAAATGAGGAAAACAGTTGAGTTGATCAACTTGAACAAAAGTTTCCCAAGAAAACAAATTTCAATCCCCTTTTTTACTTTCAACTGACTGAACAGGAATAGACTTTTAAAAAAACTGACGCAACTGGGTGCTGATTTAAACACATATGTAACCATATGCTATTTACAAATACAAATATCATGAACCTTTGATCAACATCTAGATATCTTTGTGTTTTCTACCCAGTATGTGTTTGTAGAAGGAGCGGGTAAAGTAGATGTTGACCAGCTGCCGGTGGTAGAGAGCCAGACCCAAAATCTGACCCGCAAACTGAAAGTAGTTCAGATGGTCTGGATTCACCGAGGAATTGCTGTTGGGCTGGAAGGTTGTACCTATGCAGAAGGAAAGCACTGCAGTTCAGCTCTTGTCATTTAATGTTATCACTGTAGGTAATTTGCTGTATACCATCAGCTGATTGGGTGAACAGAGCGTAGTCAGGGTTGATGATTTCATTAGACAGGATATCAAACCACTCCCGAACCACACCCTGGCCCTGAAACACACACACACATACACACGCACACACACAACACAACTCACCACACTGATCACAGTGCAGCAGAAAATGGACTAGATGGCTATGGATAAAATACTGAACTTGAAGCAGCGAAGAGATGAGTTATAATATTAAATTTTTTTGCAAAGTTTTATGTCTATGAATGTAATGTGAATGCAAAAACTCACCATGCCTTCCTCACCATGAAAGCGGACAGCTATACCCTGTTTGAGCTTCTCATTAGTGGACTTGGAAACCATCTCACAGCTGCTCCTGAATATGGAGTCTGAGTGTGAAGCACAACAGCAGCACAGCGTTGACAAGTTTCACCACACATAAACACTGGAACACGAAGAAGCATACACTGCTCCTGGTCATACTGTGATTTTACTGGGTTTTAAACTCAAAGCATTTTACCTTATTCTGTATTCCCAGTCCCTCTAGTGGCCAAAAACATCTACTATAATAATCATTACCATTATAATGTAGCCGGGTGGTAAATTTTGGTTAAATAATTGCACTGTTTCAAGGTGTTGGTTTTCTTTTATTGTTACAGTAGCAATGCTATTAAGTGATTTTGTTTCAGATATGTCATTTTATTTCCTATCTGTATGTTTTCACATTTAAATATGTTCAGGTAGTTGGTCTCAGGTGCTGCACATTTTGACCACCAGAGAGCAGTGTTTCAAAGTGATTACTGTTTCCCAAGACGGGGCAGGAAATGCATTTTGTTCTCTTCCGGTGTTGCTACGCTACGTGATGAACTTGGACGGGAACCGTATGTGATTTATCTGCAGGTCATAGTTTCAGCAGAAAATCGGTAAATGTATACATCACTTGTTGAAATATGTTTGTATGTTCTCATTCATGTGATAAGCAGTCAGTATTTTAATAAGATGGTGTATTTCTGAAACGGATGGTTCAGGGAGCCTGTCTGTGCGGTGCAGGGCGACCATTTACTGCACGTGAAAATAAGATGTGCGATCATCGGTGTTCTCCAGTATTAAGAGTGAACTGAGACATTACTGTCGAATGTAAGTGTTGATAAAGTGAGTCATATCACAACTCCATGCGCTCTAAATCAGTGTGGTGTAATGCAGCTCTCTGTATTTTGTTTGTGCAGCCAGAGGCCACTGCCGTATTTCTATTTCTTTTATATATTGTATTTTCTTTTGTGTATTCTCCCTGTTATTCGGGAGATATCTGCCACGTTCCATGAATAGTTACCTAATGTTTTGGTACACCTATGTTCTGATTTTTGAACAATACTAAGGAACAAGAGAGCTTTGTTCAATCTGTCTCAACTAAAAATAAAATATACTGCACATTACGAACCCCCGTTATTGTGTCCTGTGACGGTAAGTATTTCCCGGGCCACAATAATGATTTCTGTAAATTTAGGTTTGTGTTCTTTGAAAGAAATTGTAAGCAACAGAAACGTTTGGAGCTTCTAAGCAGTGATGTCAGTAACGTAATTAGACGTTTCTGACGGACCACTTTTTTCAGTAACGAGTTCCATATTTTCTGGACTATAAGCTGCACCGAACTATAAGCCACAGATTTCTCTGCCGCTCCAGGTTTTCCACAATGATGCAGCAGCAGCAGAGGGGAGCAGACACCCAAAATTTGAGTCATAACAGGTCAATTGAATATCACATTTATTATGGTTGAAAAAGAAAAAGTTGACAAGTTTAGATTTAACTGAACTGATTATGAGTTTGAAGAGAAAAATCTCCTTACTGTCGGCTGCTAGCATGTGCTAAATGAAAATGGGCGCTTTTTTTCTTCTTCAGATTTTAACGGCAGCTTGCATCCATTATTTCCATTATTGTTTCACTACTGCCATCTATTGGATCCTAATATCTATACCTCAAATTCTCATAACGATCCCAGTATTATTTAAAAAACAAAAAATCTTCTTTTTCCCCTCAATGCTATTTAACTGATCAACAACATTTTCAAATTTCAATTCCCTATTAAAACCTAATTCCGTTTTAATGGGCGCTTTCTTCTTTTATTTCCAATTTTGACTTCCAATGATTCACTTCCTGCTAAAGAACCCCCTGGTGGTTGAAGAAAAATCCACATGTAAGCCGCATGGTCCAAAGTTTAGGAAAAATGTAGCGGCTTATAGTCCAGAAAATATGGTAATCTAACGCATTGCTACTTCAAATCCAGTAGTCAGACTACAGTTGTATCTAAATCACTTTGCTTTACTGTGCGTTACTATTATCTTTTGTAATTTTTTAATTTTATTTCCTCTACTGCCGTTTCTATGCGAAAGTATCAGCAGCGACAGAAACAAACAATGGAGGGAAGAAAGAGAAGTGCATTTTGTTGCTGGAAAAACAGGAACTATTTTTAGTTTCTGTCGCCAAGTCCGATTATTATAAGCAGCTTTGGGTTTGTTTCTTTCTAAAGTCGCCTGTAGATTTAATGAGTCGCGGGTTGCGCTTTTTGGGGCTCATTTTTTAACGTGAAGTTTCTCATTTGGGCTTGGAAATAAACAGACATAAACCCCATAATTTGTCTGACATCCACTTAGTTTCAGTCAGACTCTCTCTGTCCATCATTTCCCTGATGATCTGTCCTGCTGTGTCTTTGTTCATGTGAAGTTAATATATTTGCTGTGAATCACGTCGAGCTTCGCGTTGCGCTCCAGAAAACTGCAAACATCGATACTAATATGAACAGCACAATAAATGTGAAAAAAGCCACGAATGAATGTGTCCGTAAAGTTGTGCAACTAAACGCCATTAAGATTATTAATATTAAGATAAGTGTCACAAATCTGTGCAGCGCTGGACATCTGAGCTGTGGAGCCGCAGGAGGAGCACTGTGCGCTGCGCTCTGACCACAAACGCAGGACGCAGGGGATTGGGGGCGGGGAACACACAAAAACATGCATAAATTACTCAAGTTTTTTTTGTACTGTTGTAACCAATCTACTATAAGTGGAGACACATTGTTGATGTTACTATTATAAAATAACTTGCAATTAAGTATTAGCAAAGATCAATGTAATTTTCACAGGTGGCAGAAGCAGCTGTTGAAAGTTACTAAAAAAGTTACTTTTAATGTAACTTAGTAACTTTCCAAATCAAGTAATCAGTAAACTAAGTTACTTTTTTAAGGAGTAATCAGTAATCTGATTCAATCAATCAATCAAATTCTATTTGTATAGCACATTTCAAAGTGCTTTACATCATTAAAATAAAAACAGCATGTGACATTGAATAAACAGTGAGAAAGAGAAAGACATTTTGAAAAAGATTAAAAAAGATAAAAGCATTAAAACCCCTTTTAGGACTTCAGTTAGATGTCGTTTAACTGGGGCTCTAACCCTCTGGGACTTTAGTCAAAAACACCGTTTGACAAGGACTCCAACCTCTAGGTTTTTAGTTGAAACGCCGTCAACTGGGACTCTAAACCCCGTAGGACTTTAGATAAACGTCATTTAACAATGATTCTCACACCCCTAGATATAGATTCGTTGAACTGGGACGTTTTCTGGGGGGGCTTCACATAGACAGTGTGAAAGAGAAATAAAAAGAAGTTAATAACTAGATGAAAAGTAAAGATAAAAACATCAAAGACATCAAAATCTCTAATCCTAATTTAGCCATAAGCAACTCTAAACAGGTGGGTTTTAAGTTGAGATTTAAAGGCTCTCAGTGTTTCAGCTGTTTTACAGTTTTCTGGAATTTAAATTAAAGTTACTTTTACAAAGTAACTATGCCATCACTGCTTCTAAGATAATTCCAAATAATTGGACAGAGTTAATCATCAGAGAGTGTCAGATTTCAGAGCAAATGGGACCCTGAGTTCATATTTTACAGAAGTGGTGCCGACATGACAAGATGCAAGCTAAGTTGATGGAGCTATTTGAACTATTACCTACTGGGATCAAAGAAGATCAGATATTCTCATCTGCTTTTCATGTCACATCTGTACAATTGCTACAAAGTTAGATGATGACAGGAGTGGTGGCGTGGTTATGACCTGCTCATTCAAGCTCTCTACAGTTCTGGCTTGCATCACTTACTTAAAGTTTAGATTTGCTAGTGCCCAGAATAACTTCAACTTTCCATTTTGCAACAGCAATATTAAAAACATAAGAGAAAAACTGATTTGTGGAAGCAGCTCTTGGACAGAAGTTGTTGTGAAGATTGTGGATACCTCTGTGGATGAGAAGGATGTCGCTCTCATTAACAGGACGATGGACCATATCTGAGTCTGGCTGGCCAGCCAGCAGATGCTCGTAGAACCACTCACAGCGATCCTTAAAAGGCTAGAGGGGACAACAAAGACTTCACTCAACAAAACTGCACAGCATTTCCCAGACTAATTACCACTTCACTGTGCTGTCAACTTTCAGGCTGTGGATATTTCAGTCACAACTGGTGGCTTGGAAAGGCTTTGGAGCTGAAACACTCATCAGTAATGCAGAGACGAGGACTAAGTCTATTTGCATAATATATGCCTTTGTTCCCTAAGCGAAGGAGGTAGACTGAAGGATGAGCATGAAAAAAACCCAAAGGTTTTTCCCTCAGGGCTGCAGAGCACACTAAAAAACGACTCAGAAGATGAAATCAAATTCACCAGGTTAAAGTCTGTAATTAAAACAAGAGCCTAGTCCCAAGAGAGCTATAATCCATGGGTAACGAGGTGCAAATGCTGCAGTTCAAATATACTGAAAAATAAGTGAACAGCACATAATTCAGAGCAGCACTTAAAATTTATGATGCCATTTAAATTAAACTTAAGACAAGTGTTAGTGTCATACAGATAATGCTGTTAAATGATGCTGAAGTGCAGACAGGGGACTTTCAAAGTCACTTTCTATAAAGTCTCTAAGGAAACAAAGAACTGTCACATAAAGAATAAGCTAAGTCAATCTGATGCCTGAGCTCAGAGACAAAAGAAGCAGAGATGCCAGGGGCCTAAAGGAGCGCACAGCTTTCACACTAAAAGTTGGCGTAGGGACAAATTTTGGAAAGTGTGATGCACAAAAAACAATCGGATGTATAAAATCACGAGCAGGCATGTAGCTGCTCTCCTTTGGGTTGTGGACGCCTGTCTCCACCCAGAAATACGTATTTAAATTAGTATAAATAACTAGAAGGTTGTCACCACTTGTCCCAATTATCATAGCAATGGCCCCTGTTTTCCAACTACTATTGAAACTAATACGCTTTATTTAAAAGGTGCCCTTCAGGGATCCGAAGGGCATTTCAGAAAAAAATCAAAGCAAAAAACAAAACTCAAAAGAAAAATATTTAAAATGGTAAACAAAAAGGACTTTGTTGATCAAAGTGAAAATGTTTCTTTGAACAGATGAGTTTTCAACCAAGATTTAAAAGCAGTGAAACAGAGAGGGAAATCAACATGATGCTGAAGCCTATTCCACAGTACGGAGAAATCATGTTGAACCAGGCCAACATGTGACTATTAAGGTGCTTTTCCACTAGCCCCCCTCTAACCAGTACGTCTAGGTTCACCTCGGTTCGTCAGATTTTAGTACTTACTTCAGGGGTAGTACTAGCAGGATCGATCGAGGTATGGCACCAAAACCATTTGATTGACAGCGGACCCCATTCATTGATTATCTCACTGTAAACTGCAAAACAACCTTTAGTGTTTAGAATCTAACTTTAGCTGTGGGCTGCTGACATGGCGTCTGCTATCAGAGAGCTGTATGGAGAATATTAATTATGAAAATACTCAGGAGCAGCAGCAGGAACACGTGGTACCTTCTGCAGCAGAATGACCGTGAATTAGCAGCACTGCTAGCAGCTCGTTTCTCTGAAATTACACCCCTAATTCACAAACAAACACCATCACACAGAGACTGAAGGATTCATAGGCACTGTAATTGTCCAAGGAACCATGGACATGTGGTGGGCGAAAGATGGAGCCAAATTTACAATATTGTAATTAAACGTGCGGCAAACTAATGGTGTTGTTGAGAGCTGCACTGGGTTAACTCGGGGAATTTCAAACTGTCCGACCCGTGCTTCGATACACTCCAGGCTTCTTTATTTTTTGTTGCAATCATTAATTTACTCCACTTTGAGTGCCATACTTCAGACTTTACAAGGACTGACCAGGCCAAACCATACAATGGTGCCAACAATAAACGTTTCTCTGTCACATCAGTAATTGCTTATTTCAATCATATGGCTCTTACACCAATATTCAGGCAACTATTGGGATGATTTTTTTGAAAGTAAAGTTAGGAAGCTAAGAGTAGCATGTCTGTTTACAGCACCAGGATTCAGGCTAGCCACTCGGGTATGTGGTCTGACTAATTAATCAAATAATATCAGCTTGTTATATTTTCCAGGGTAACTATATAAAAATTTGTTTGATTAGTTAACTATATGAAGATTAGTTTGATACAAAGGAATAAGCTGCAAATTAAGAACATTTATTTCAATAGGCTACAGACACCCAGCTTTTCCACCACTGTGTACTTCTGTTTAAACACAATAAATCTTCTAAAATGACAAAAACAATCAGGCAACAAATAGATCTGCAGATGATCATCACTGTAACCATAAAAACTAATTCTCATAGTAGCAGCAGAAGCAATTGTTGCCATTTGATTTTACATATAATTTGTGATGAGATAATAAACTTCAATTTGTTTTCATATTTAGGTTCATATTGTGATAGTTTTTAGAATCTCATACTGTGCCATGCCTATTGTTACTATTCCAAAACAGAAGGAATATTTAATCAGCCAGAAATATAAAAGTATGTACAAGTAAGTCAACAAATTTGAGAGCACAAATATTTTTTCATACCTGGTTCTTAATAATGTGCATAAAACGTGACATCAACTCTGGACACTCAAGCAGAAAATGGAAATGGTTAAAGATGATCTTTGGATTCCTGGAAAGAGAAGTCAGAGGGGAACATCCACAGGGAACACAGAGAGAACAAAGAGAGAGCAATGGAAACAAATTAGGAGTAAAATAAGCCGTGTGATCGATATTTCATCTCTAATGTGAGAGGAGCCTGATGTATAGCCAGGGGCATATCGACTCACCTGGTTACAAAACATTTCAGCACCTCGTCATGCTTGCAGACAAACTCTATAAAGCGCGGGGAGGTCATTCTGAACAAACAGAAGAATGAGAAGAAGAAGAAGACAAGTAAAAACTGAACATGATGTTGGATCACGACAGAGGACATGTTGCTAAGGATACAGCACAGGGTAGCACACAGTTCTGGATTAAATGTACATCACATGAAATGAAATATAATAATAATAATAGAAACATTTGCCAAGAACTTTAGTACAACAATGTCTGTATGAAAGCCAGGATAATTATGGTGATTGATTTATTTCATACTATTGAGAATAACTAATTCTGTGTTTTTCTTCTATCTCTTGTAGCTAGTTGTAAAGCTAAAGGAAATAACATGTTAGGAAACACCCTCAAAGTTAAGGTAATAGGATTTGACACACTAGGGAACACCCTCTTTAGAGCGTAGCTTAGATAGAGGCTAACAAACAGAACAACACACTGTTGCTTGATGCCATTTTGTTCTGCTAGCCCTTAAGGACAGCATGAACTATGGACCAGCTGAGTGAAGTTGCCCCCCAAACTCCACCTTCTTGAAATCAGACAAAATTGGTGTCATTGGTGTCAAAATTGGTATCGTCAAACATTTATGCTACATTTGTGCAGGTTTGTGCAGCAAAAATTTTCATTTGTCCTGCTATCGTTATTATTAAGAAAAATGTTCTCTAGGGGTCATCAGAGGTCAACCACTCCCCTGGCCCTGCTCACATTTAAATTTATTTAATTGAACAAACTGAGTTGGTGCTTGTTTTACAACAAAAATTTTCATTTGTGCTGTTTTGGCTTTGAAGATATTAAAGTTTAAGGGTTAAAAGGTCAACCAGCCAGCCTTCTTCTATAAACCGTTTGTGCTGGTTTATGCTAGTCTGTGCACTGATTTGAAGTTGTGAAAATAAGTGTTGATGATGACAGTCGATCAAGAAATTGAGATGGAAACAGCAGACTAGATAGTTAGCATATGTTTTGGTCCAGTCTTATTTTTTGTATTTCAACAGTACATGTCTAATAGCGCCCTCTGGTGATCAGAAACTAAAATACAGGTCACTGAGTGTGTTTTGGGAGGTGATGTACCAGTTCATTCTAAATAAGACCTAGTTCCAAGTGAATTTCATCCATGTTCAAATTAAATTATTCATGTTCATAGGTTGGTACTTAACAATTTCAAATGAAATTCACAGATCCAGCATGAACTGTTGTTCAATGACCTTTGATGACCTCTAGAAACATTTTTATTAATATCTTCAAAATGACAGTGGCACAAATGGAAATGTTTGCTGCATAAACCAACACAAACACATCTGAGTTGATTGACACCAAATGTATTTTTTTTTTTTTTGCAAATGTGAGCAGGGCCAGGGGGGGGGGTGACCTCTGATGGCCCCTAGAGAACATTTTTCTTAATATCTTTAGAATGATAGCAGCACAAACGAAAATTATTGCTGCACAAACGGAGTTGAGTTAATTGACACACATTTCGTCTGATTTCAAGAAGGTGGGGGGGCTGGTTGACCTTTGATGACCTCTAGAAACATTTCTTTATATCTTTAAAATGATAGAAGCACAAACAAAAATTTTTTGCTGCACAAACGTAGCACAAACGTTTGACACCAATTTTGTCTGATTTGAAGAAGGTGGGGGGACCAACTTCACTCAGGTGCTGTACCTTGGTATTAGCAGATGGAATTCATGAATTCAACTCACTTTTCTTCAACCTCATACATCAAGAACTTAGCCTGGAGAACGGATAATTCTCCACAATACTGATCATTATTCCCTTTCATGGCTCTTCATCATATAACTGAATTTATTGTCATTTATAAATGGCATAAGTTCCTATTTATTCCAAACAATATCACTGCAGTTTGGTTTTCAGATTCAAACAATGGGATTTTCTAAGATGAGGGTGGTGCAGAGACAGGAAGAAGTGGCTGATTCTGCTCTGTCAGGTGAAGCCAGGATGCTGAGCACTGACCCCTGTGGCATTTGACAGGAACAGCTCATGTAGAAGGCCTGAATAACCGCACTGAGCCGGTTGGCTGTCATGGAGATCACATCCTCCCCATCAACATACGCTTCTCCTTCCAGCAAGGAGAGCGTGGGCGTGTTGCTGGAGGGGTCCGACTCCCGCTGCTTGAGCAGGAGGGACGCTATCTCACTGCTGGAAGAGGATGAAGATGGGTTCTTTGTGGATCTTTCCAGCTCTGTAGAGATGAGCATCAGCCACTCATCAAGAGAATGCCATAGCAGCTCCAATGGCTGCAGAGACATAGACAGAGAGAGGGATGGAAGATCAAAAGCTACTTCATCCACTCAGGCAATAAAAGACAGAGGCTTCTTGGAACATTTGTTTCACATTATAGAGAACACACTGTCTATGAGTTAAACATAATATACAGAAAACTAGATAACTGCATGGCGCAGAGTTTAGAGTGGGGACCTGTACATGGAGGCCACAGGTCTTGATGCAGCCAACCCGAAAAAAAATAACCACCAGACCAGCCTTACACTGTATTGATTGATTTTCACACATTGATGTTTGGAAGATTTTTTAGCTGCCTGTGCATCCTTTACTACAAGCGTTCAAGAGTTCTCTAAAGGAATGCTGTTACTGCATTTTAAGCAACAAAAAAAAACTGTTAATTGTATTTAAAAGAGGAATTGATTTGTTAGTTTATTGGAATTTTTTATGCATTTCTAATCTGATCCCCACCACCAGGAGAGGGACGGAGTGGGAATTGAACCGGCATACATTCTCATTCCCCTTTAGAAAGAGCTGTCTGTGTAAAGTGCAAATGGAAATGAATTGTCAGTGTGTCAAACTGATCATTCTATATTAGATCTGCACCTCGTACTAACCTTAAAGACCTGGCTCCGAGGCGTTTTGTTCCCATTGTAGCCCATGTCGTTGCCATTGTTGGGAGAAGAAGGGCCGAGGCGGAACACGTGGCAGAAAATACGAACAATTCTCAGAAGACTTTTCATCTGAGCGTCATAACTACTGGACAGACTGACAGAAGGACAAAACAGTGGTGTCAAATCAACTTGTACAACCATAAAAATACATGAAAACATTCAGCCTTAGAGCAAGGTACATGGTGAGGGTACATGCACTTTTATCATGACTTTATTTACATCTTTGTTATGATCTTCACAGAGACAGAAGTTTAAAACCTTTTACATCCTAAGTTATGCCACAAACCAACACAAAGAAACCACTTCGATATCTTTCATAATTAAAATTTTGAGAAGTTTGGCATGTATATATGTTTAGCTCTCCATAGTTAATATGTTGTAGAACCACTTTTTGCCGCAAACAGTTGGCATTTGAAAAGCATTTGTCAATATCAAAACTAAAACAGATTAAAAACTTTAGCTGTGGATCTCTGCAGCTCCTCCAGAGTTACCATGGGCATTCCAGCTGCTTCATTGATTAATGTTCTTTTCTGCTGGCCTAGATGTTTACATGCAGCTCCATCTTGGTAGGCTTGCAGTTGGGCATGCATGCCATACTTTTCAGAATTATTCGTAAAACCAAGTGTAATTTTCTGTCAACGTGTTGGTCTGTCACTTAAAATTCCAGTAAAATACATTGAAGTATGAGATTGTAGCATGAAAAATGTGAAAAGGTTCCAGGGGTGTGAATACTTTACAAGCCACAGTGCATGCAATATATCAGAAACAAACCAAAAGATTTAATCAAATGCTGCAAATCTGAAACTTCACCTGAGAAGTTTGTGTCCATTAGTGGTCGCCACTTCTGCAAGACTGGTCAAAACCTTCTGATAGTGACTGTCACTCTGCTGAGACACATGCTCCAAAACCTGCCTGAGCTACAAAACAATGCAAAAATATTACTTATAGTTGATACTCTGTTCGCAACTGCTTTCTAACATAAAGGAACATTTCTGTGTCTTGGTCTTCCTTAAACCTCAACTGGCTTTTCACTCATCTTTTGTCCAGTCTTTCATTTGACCATGACAGCAAGGCGTGTGTGCTAAGGCAAACAATGGTCAAAAGGAGAATTGATAGACTTTAAAAAAAAGCTTCATACAAAGATAGATCAAATGTTAACCTATTACTTCAACATTTAGCAGGAATACAAAGAGAAGTCATTCTTCTTGTTTTTAGTTAGAAGCTCTTTGATTACAAAAAAAACTCATTTGTGTGTCAAAATAAATTTGATTTTCATATTTTATCATCAGAAATTGGAACAAATTGACTTTTTTTACTTTTGTGATGAAAGTACTTTAAACAACTATGAAGAATTTTCATTAGGAGCAAAGTGGATCTGAAGGTGATTCTGATGAACAAACACAATAAACAAATCTTTAAGTCTAGCACTTTGGAAGCACTTTATAGAGAATGAAGTTCCAGTTATGTACCTATAATGTTATTACCATATTCTCTTTTACGTCCTCATTCTGTGTCATCTGGATTAGCATCTGGAACAATCTAGCATGGTGCTGGATGAGGATCTCACAGGTCTCCCCATATCCACCCTGAAAATAACACAGCTGGTTCAAAAACAGCAGCAAATGAAATGAAAAGGTAAAACATGTTCTGCTACAGTAAATGGAGAAGAACTAGCCACCTGCACACAGAGATCCAATGGAGTGATTCCATTTTTGTCAGCAAGGTATTTGGCACCACGAGAGAGCAGGATTTGTGCAGTGTCCCTCTGTCCATGGCTGAGGAACAACACAACACAAGATTTATCCCACTGTAGTAACAAGAAAAGCTGGATCAATCCAAGCTCAACATTTTGCATTGTCAAAGATGTTTTGGAGTAGAAGCAGAAAAGTGTGAAGGAAAACAGGGAGAGGCTTGCAGCAAAGCGCCTCCTGCACCAGCTGTGGCTGATTCACACACCAAACCAGGAGATGCTGCTGCTCCCTTTGCCTCCCCCTCCCACATTTCTGCATCTAGAAGTCTGATGAAGAGGCAGCTGGAGAGACTGAACCTGAACAACGTTGCAAGTCCAGATGGTATCAACCCCAGAGTGTTAAAGGCCTGAAGCTTCAGAGCAGCTCTGTAGGATTCTGCAGGATCTCTTCAACCTTAGCCTGACCCAAGTCAAGGTTCTGTTGTTGTGGAAGACATCCTGCTTTGTTCTGGTACCAAAGAAAACTCACAACTCAGTCATGAAGAACTATAGACCTGTTGCCATGACAACCCACATCATGAAGGTAATAAAGATAATCTTGTTGGCCCACCTGACAAGCAGATATCAAGACCCCTTGTGCAGTTTGGTTATTGCCATGGAGATGTAGTTGATGGTGCAATCATACACAACAAACCCACTGTCATCTGGTCAAAGCAGGCAGCACTGTGAGGATCACGTTCTTTGATTTCTCCAGTGTATTTAACACGATTCAGCCTGATCTGCTCTGTGAGAAACTCCAGAAGACACAGACGGAGTCCTCAACAGTCACCTGGATCTATGACTACCTCACAAACAGACCACAGTTTGTGAGACTGAAGGACTGTGTGTCTAACCAGGTGGTCAGCAACACCACAGGGCCCTGTACTCTCACCGTTCCTTTTCACTCTACACTTCAGACTTCCAGCACAACTCTGACTTCTGTCATCTGCAGAAATACTCAGATGACTCTGCAGTTGTTGGTTGAATCAGAGATGGACAAGAGGCCGAGTACGGAGATCTGGTGAACCAGGGACATAAAAAGGCTCAACAACCTGATAAAGAAGGCTGGTTCTGTTCTGGTTCTGTTCTGGGGACGACTGTGGAACCTCTGGAGATGATGAGGCAAAGAAGGATTCTTCATGAGGTCAAGAAAGTTATGAACAACCCAGACAATCCTCTTCATGAGACTGTCTTGGGAAAACAGTGTCTTCAGTCAGAGGCTTCTTCAGATTCACTGTAATACAGACCTCTACAGGAGATCTTCCTGCCAACAGCCATGACAATCTTCAATAACTCTTTGAAGAATCGGAATTAATCTGATTTACAACATTTAATTTCCCTTGATTTTCCTTTGGAGTCAATAAAGTATTTTTGAATTTTGAATTTGATTTCAACTAAACCAGGTCAGTCTTGAGGACCCGTGGGTCATGTGGTTTTTCGTTACCTGCAAGCAAAGTACAGAGGTGTGGCTCCAGAGACATTTGGTCGGTTGATGTCAGCTCCACTGTCCAGAAGACACAACACCGTCTGTGAACATACAGCTCCTTTTCATGTCACATCATCAGGACATTGAAAGAAGAGGTTCTGAAACTGATTACTCATCAGTTTTTAGAACTTAAAAAACCAGATGTTTAGAGCAGGTCCTGCATCTTTCCCATGCAGCCCTGCTCCAGTTGTTCAGCTGTGAAGAGGAAATGGTAACAAGTCATCCACCCGGTTGAGACATTGTGCTGCTCTGAAGAATCCAAGTGGATGGAGCTCACAAGGAAAGACCTTACAAAGATAACTGCTGCCGCCAATCAATCTGATAAGAGTTAGGTGGTCATTCCCCAAACTACATGAAAACTGATCACTAAACAGTGATAAATATTGCATCATAAAATTTGAGGCTGCTTTACGATCTCTAGTATTTGTAAAGTTTTGACCTGACAATCCTTTTTAATCCAAGAAGAAAAATCTGAAATATTAAAAAGGTTCTAAATATTTTTCTAACCATTCTGCTGTTACAAATTATGATTTATGTTAGAAGCAGAGTTGACCACTCCCAGTTTTTGCAGAAATGCCTCATCCTAACTTTTGCACTGTAGACTGTTTTCAGCCTAACCTGAGTTTCTAACATGCCTACCATCTGATCGTAGTCACTAGCCCCTTTCTCTATATATAGAATAGAGATTATCTGGGTATCTCTATCATTATCCCTATTTCAGCAATTTATAAGACATTTCTTAATTGGCTTACTGTTTTGTGTCCATTCTGACACGCTACATGTAATGCAGTTTGTCCCATGGCATCCTCCACATCCACATTAGACACATGCTGGACCAGATCATGCAGAAGCTCTGTTCTGCCATTAACTGCCAACCAATGGATCTGCAGCAGAGGATCACATCAACACTTTCATTCTAACAAGCAGAAAATACAGCAGCAATTTGTTTGGAAAAGGCAACTTTATGCTAACAAAGTCAAACATCATTAACTGTAAACAACTCACAGCAGTCAGGCCCTCATTGTTGCAGATATTGACATCAGCATTATATTCCAATAATTTGCCCATGCACTTCTTCTGTCTGAGGAAATAGTAGAGGAGATGGTTGGTTACACTTCAGTCTTAATGCACATATAATGACTCGAGCCCGAGAGTCTAAACATGGTCAGTTCTCCTGAGCAACATGTCCAACACAAGCCTATAAAGCAGAGCTGTCAGAAAAAAACACAATAATCTTTGCTTCAACAATTTAAATTCTGAATGTAATTAAATTCAGAATTTAATTGATTAAATTAAATGTAATTACATTTAATAGAATGAAGAAAGGATGGCAGTGGTTAGTCATGTTTTACCCATTCCTAGCAGCTAGGTGCAGAGGGGTGCAGCCAGAGATGTCCTGATAGTTTGGATTGGCTCCTCTCTTCAGCAGCAGAACCAGACACTCCACTGACCCACAGCTGCACAACAACACAAAAGTTTGTTACTAAACTGACAAGACAACTGTTTAAAAAAGAAGAGTCAAAATTCTCATGTGACATGACCGCACCAGAAACCAAGGCTAAAATCACATCAGAGTGCAGCTGGGAGCCGCCTACAGAGATGATGTCTTTAAACTTCAGCTTCAACTGCATAGGAGCAGCTCACATGTGGCTTTAGGTCCAACTTAGCAAGTAGCAACAGCACCCGAAATGTTTCTGAGACTTATGATAGAGATCTCAGAGGCCAGACTTTTTATTTCAGTAGATGGATCCAGAAGTGTGTTGAAATAAATAGCTTCTCTTTGTCATTGTCACTGTTCTGAAAACACACCTGCTACTTTTTACCCGTCATTTTTGTTATTGAAGTCATTTATTAGGAATGATGATCATTGATAAAGTCATCTGCTTCATAAATGATGATCATGGAAAAACAAACAAACAAGTAAATAGGTGAGAAAAGGTGAAATTGTTCCTTGTTTTTTGGAGAATTTAATGGAAAATTAAAGAATAATGACAGTTATATTAAGATCATCTAAACAAACTCTTCTCTGCAAAAGTAATCCAGCCATAAGTATTGAAGAATCGGATGATTAAGAATATGCAATCATTTTCATGCATCTGTAATTATTTTTTATATCTGCAAAGTTTGAAAATATCAGTTTTATCAGACTTATGGGAATGAAGAACTTAAAAAATATGTCAAATTAGTAGAAACAAAGCTTACATGTTGGAATGTGTCTGAGATGGGAAAAGGTTTTCAAACCCGAGAAGTCATCAGCTCTCTGGGCAGGAGAACAGGGTATTGCAGTAAAAACTGATGAATTACCAAACATCAATGGATGAAGGATGACAAGAGGGACGAAAGCAACTGCTGCAAAGCGCCATAAAGGGGCAGAATCAATCTGGGAAGGACATTGTTGGGTCCTCCAAACAGACAACCCAAGATCAAAAATATTTTATGTGGATTTGGCCCCAATGTGGCTTTTTTGACATTCATGCCACATTTGTTTGTATGTCCTTTTATGGACAGAAGTGAAACTTACAAGTCAACAACGGGAAAAAAAATAACTTGTTTCTCATAGTTTTCAAACTGTTTAAACTATTGACTATCTTACTTTTTTTAAAGTAACCTTGTTCCTTGACTTGATAGTAAATGGCTTATCAAGTCAGAGGATTCCAAAATGTTTTACACTACAATCAGTAGATGGAGAACTGCAACACATCAGATGCCACCTGAGCATCTGGAAGCAGCAAGGAGCTGTACTACTTTTTAAGTAGCATAACTGTGATACAATTTAAATAGATAAAAATGTATTTGCTGCTTCCTTTATTTTGAGAAGAGAGGAGCAGAAACGTAGCCATACTGCATCTTACTTTGCAGCAATGTGTAGCAAGCTTCTCTTTACTCGTCCAAAGGCGTAGTTCACATCAAACTTGGAATTGAGGAGCAACTCTGACACAGACCTTTCAGAAAACAAAGCAAAAGTAAAAAGATAGAAAAAATAAATTTTCTATGGAACAAAAAGCTATAAAATCATAACTTTACTATGCATAACCTCCATATTGGTCAGTCATGTTTCGACACACACTTTCTAAAGAAATTTTACAGCAGCACATAGATGTGACTCTCACCTGTGCTGGTCAGCCATGACCATAGGCATGAGTGTGTAGACTGCCGTCTCATTGTCTGCAGAGATAAATGAGGGGAACAAAAGCAACATTAAACATTTAAATAGAGAAAAATCTCATTTAAGTAAGCTAATGCCAGATGGTTGAATGGGCATGTTTAGTATCGGTGCTAAGAAAATTGCCATAGGGCATTGCTTCTCAGTATGCCAAAAACTTTTTTAAAAAAAAGTATTACAGCACAGAACAGACTTTAAGCAAGATTCAATTTGTTCAAGTAAGACATGTTAAGAACATTATGAAGTTTAAGACCAATGTGAATTATGAAACATAACTTACTTTGTTTAATAGTTTCTGTTTGAGTTACTTGATAGGATAAACAAGTTAGGACCTCATGGTGGAACAGTTGGTAGCATTGCTGCCGTGCAGCACCAGGCTCTTAGGTGCTGGTTCAGGTCTGGCCAGGGTCTTTCTGCATGGAGTTTACAGTTTTTTTTCCCCTTGACTAAGCAGATTTTCTCTGGGTACTCCAGCTTCCTCTCACAGTCCAAAAACATGACTGCTAGCTTACCTGGTCTCTCTAAAGTTGGCATTAAATATGAGTGTGTGTTCTCTGGACATGGCAACCTGTGACCTTACAGTACAGAGCAAGCTTCTAATTAACAGTTACTGATGACGATAGGTTTGAGAAAACTATTAAAATTGAAGTTTTCAAGCAAAGCCATCTTAAAAGTACCTTTGACCATGCTGAAGTACCAGATAGCAGATAATGAAACCAGAACATTTGGATTGCCTTACACAAATTATTTTCAACACTTAAAGCTTCTCTGAATCAAGAGGTTTGTAGTTCTGTCAAAGTTTTAAAAATACCTTAATTCCTCAACCAAAGCTCCAAATTAAGTAACAAATAAGTGCCACCAGCATAATTCTCAAAAAGAAAGAAAATGTTGATAGAAGATGTAATAAAACATACCTTCATGGTGCAAAAAAATGAGTGTATAAATTGCTTAGGCCTACAATTTAAATAATTACATTTAAAACCTTCCAGAAACACTGATGAACACCTTGGGTGCCTCTTCTTGTCTGTCAAGTACAGGAAACTCAGGTATCAATTGTTTATTAAACTTGGATAATTGAGTTTTGAAATTATGCACACAATTCTGTAAGATGTGATTAATTCTTGTGTTATTATGTACTGTGGCTTTCAAAAATGTCATACCACTTGAATTTTTCCATATTTTGTCATATTACAACCACATATATGAATATAATTCATTGGAATTTAGTGTGAAAGACCAACACAAAGTGATACCGCAGAGCTTCCTTTGCGGTGAGTGGGTAATGTGGAGGCGTATTTTAAATTGAGGAATCGTGTTTTACCAGGCCAACGTCACTACATTTATCAGGCACTTTGTTCATATAAGTTAGGTATAAGTTACCTTTTAATACAGCAGCAACTTTGGTGAGAGAGATTAGTACTCATTTGTAGGGCAGAGATCAATTTTTCCACTGTTGGAGTGTTTCCAATTTAGTATGGGGTTTCAAATCATTCCAAATCACTGTGTTTAGTGTTTTTTTAATACTATATGTCTGTGATTTGAATTAAATCTTCATTTAACATAAGTCATCTAAAAAGTAAAGCTGAAGATTTGATGGAATCTCCATTCCCAGGATTTTCTCCCACCATTCTCCAGTGTGTTTGGATAACTGGACAATGTCAGAATGTGTGTATCGTCTCATACTTCCCTACATTTTCTCCTGCAGCATGCAGTTGAGTGGTCCTTTACAAAACTAAAAATGATAAGAGGGGTATAAAAAAACCTAACTTTCAATTTCCAGTAAAATATTTCCCATATTTGACTGTTAATCCCTCTTTGACTGTCTTTCCACAGGCTGTCTCATACTTCATCATCTATCAAGATATTTAACTCCAGTCCCCAGTACTCTGGGTAATACCAAGTGCCTGAGATTTGTTATGATTTATTCTATGTACTGATGTCTCTGCATATGTATATAAGCATGAACATAAGTACTAGGATAGATGTCTGTGAATGTTTAATAAAATGCAGTACATCATCTGCAAATAGAGTCATTTTGTGGACTGTTTCGTCTCTATCTGCTATTCCTGGAATCTGCAAAATTTGCCAAATAGCCTCCACTAATGGTTCAATCCAAAGAGCTAAGCGAAGAAGTGACCTTCAATCTCCTTGTCTTACTCCTCTTCACACTTCAATAAAGTCACGGCTTTTTTATTTCTGACCTACTGTTTTCATAAAAAAATTGAACCATTTAACAAAGTTCCCAGTAAAGTCCATTTCAATGAGAGTGTGTTCCAAGAACCTCCAGAGTACTCTGTTGAATGTCCTTTCTGCATCTAAACTAAGGAGCATCGATGGTTCTTCTCTTGCCATTCTGAACTACAACTTTAAAGTTCTCCTGACATAATTTAAGTATTGATGTATTGTTTGATGTATTGGTGCTGTGTGGGAGACTGAACTACAATTTCTCTGAGGGTAAATCCTAAAGGGATGAATAAAATTTCTATCTATCTATTTTATACGTTATATTTATAAGTCCCATCTGATCCGGCTTAATTAACTGTTTTACATAATTCTGCACTCTGGTCTGGTAAAATTGAAGTTTCTATCTCACATACAGCAGGCTTATGGGGCAATAACTGGAACTTTTTATTGAGTCCTTTCCATCTCTACACAATACTTTAATAATAGCTTCTGACCAATCATCAGGCAGATTTCCCAAAGCTAATACATAATTTTAAAGTTTACATAATATAGTTAAGAAATAATTTATGAATGTTTTATAATATTCTCCTGAAAATCCATCTGTTTCTGGTGACTTATTTTCTAATTGTCTTATAGTTTCTCTAAATTTACTTTCTTTAATAGGTTTGGTTAAACTCCTTTTGTTCGTATATCCAGTTTAAAATTTGTAAAGGATTCTTACAGGTTTTCTACTCTTGATGACTGTTCCTGTCTGTAATATTCAGCAAAATTAATTGATATTGCTTTGGGGCTTGTTTTGATTTTATATTGATCATGCTTTTAATTTTAGGAATTACACAACTAGATTGTGCCTTTTTTATTGAAAAACTAAGAATGTGCTGGCTTTGTTTCCCATTTCATAATATTATCCATTTATGATTTCAGAGTATCCTCTGCTTTATATGGTTCTAACTCATCTAGCTTTGTTCTGGTGTCCTTTAGTTTAAGATTTTCTTGTCTTCCATGTTGTAAATGGTTCTTTTCTAGTGTCTTAATTTCCAATTCAAATTCCAGCTGTTATGTTCTTCTTTCCTCAATCCAAAAACTACAGAAATTAATTGTCCCCTCTTTCTCTAACTGCCACTTAATGTAGTACTCCAAGTTAACTGTAAAAATCATATATATATATATATATATATATATATATATATAAAGGAGGATGAGACATCTGTCCAACCTCCTTCAGCTTGGCAGGCACTAGTCAGCAGCATTTTCACACAGCTCAAAGGAAAAAAATAATTAGTTCATCTTATGACTACAAACCTTGAAAACAAAAGCACTTTTGCACCCTTTCAACAGCTAATCGTTAAACCATGTTAACTTATAAGTGAGTACAGGAACCCAGTCAGGGATCTGAATCATAAACAGACATGCTGTTAGAATGAACAGAACATGTTACCCTCTGGAAGTTCCACGGTTCTGGCCCGGCGGAGGGAGCGGGTCAGACGGCTGAGCTGTACATTAAGCTGCTCCATCGCCCGTTCCATCATAGGTGAACTGGCGATGCGTTTGAGCCTAATTCGCCGTACTTATTGGTTGCTCATAGAGTTGTGTTGTTCATGGATCACGTCCATTGACGCCGACAGAAGATAAACCGTTTTTCTAACAGACAAGCTGATTTACTGGGCGTTTAAATGGTTCCTTCCGCCCGTAAACCAGCGTTGTTCCCCTGATTCTCACGCTTCCTGTTGTGATGACGTATGAGTGACGTAATCTTAAAGTTAGAGAGCTAAAAGGTCGGTTCGAGGTTAACTGATCATTAAAGGGGCAGTTTTATGTACTTTCAAGGCACAATCAAGAAAATGTGTCAAGATTGTGGGTTGTAGTTCATTTTGCGTTTTGTTATTATTTGTTATTTGCTATTATTTGTGCTCTTTAGTTCTTTCAATTGGCTACCTCGTTTCTAATTTTACTTCCGTTCCTTCCTTCTTAGTTATTCTAATTATGTTAATTTCTTGTCTAGTTCTTTTCTTAGTTACTCTAGTTTTCACTATGTTTCTTATGTCTAGTTATTTTTTAGATTCATTTCCTAGTCCCTCACCCCGTGTCACTTCCTCTTTCTCTCTCTCCTCAGCCTGCCTTCTGCTCTCTCCCCACACCTGCAACCCATCAGGTGTGGGCCTCATGCATAAAAGAATGC